ACTGCCTGTCCTTCAGCGACGCTCCCTCGCGAGCAAGCGCACCCTGGCGTTCCAAACAGGCAGCCGGCTGGGAGTCTGCGACGGGAAAGGAAAGCATCATTTGTGAAGCATTGGCCCTGCTTCCCCTCCCGCCTCCTCATATTCCCTGCCATTCTTCATTTCATGGCTATACTGGTTACACACGGCTACACGTTATGCCCTCCCCTTCTTTTTCCCTTCCTCCTCGCCCTCACAACCCTTCCCTATCCCACTCATTTGCTGCACCGCAAATTGCTGCATTTACCCTTACAATGCAACAGATAGTTATTATATACTTTGACCTCCCCCATACGAATGCCTCATACTCACACTCTGACCTCCCTTTCAGAACGCTTGTCTTACCGTACTGTGCACGGCTATACTATGTCTTACATTCCCCCTCTCGTCGTTTTCGCCCTCGGCACACATCGCTACTTGTCAACCTCCTTCCTTCTCCCTACCCTTGATAAAGTACACTACTCATGACTATGGTATAGTTCAGAGCCTGCCACTTTTATTCTCGTTCTCCTCCCCTACACATCACTCATCTTGCTCTCCTACAGTTCTGGCCCCCCTGCTACAGATAGCTATGCTCTAAGCGGCTATGAATACATGATTTTGCATGCGGTACGCCACACAATACTATGTTATGCATCACCTTTTCCCCTACTTCTCACTGTCGCTACCCTTTTCTCGCACCCTAACTGTACCATACTATGCATGACTGTGTTATACATACTTTTGTCTGCGAAAAGCCATACATGATGATGCTTTATGCTTTATCGCCTCCCTCTTTTTTTCCCACCATCATTGCCTTGACTTTTCGTTACGGCTTTCTTTCTATATATGGCTAGGCAATCGAAGGTTTCACCTGTCTGACGGCGAGCGATGACATACGACGGCAGCAAACAGTGACAGCCTATCTTTCTTCCTGCTGCCCTCCCTTTTTTCCCTCTTCCTCAACCTCACCTCAACTAGCCCAACTTTCGATTCTGTTGCTCAACCTCACGTTGCTACTCTTTAGCCACACTTCCCTTACGCGCTCTCTTGCTACACATGGCTACGCTACACATCGCTCATTACACATGGCTTTGTCTGCGTGACGCCAAGTGACATGAGACGACGACGCCAGCACACAATGATGACGTACGACAGCCCGGGTCCCTAAAGTGATCTGTACTTCAAAAAAAAAAAAAAAAGTCTCAGGATGTTCGTTTATAGCTGCATAGACTTGGCACATAGTTGGAACTGCTACACTGGGATGCGTCTATAGGGAAATCCGATATGCTTGTGAATACAGATTTCACTGCAGCATATCAAGCAACAGCTACATCGTATCTCTTCTACACTCCTTTTCAGTTCTGCTCCGCGTAATTTGCTAGATGAAAAGTTTGGGCATGAGCACTGCTATTGAGCGTCTCGGAGATTATGCTAACAAATTATTCCGTACGCGTCATCGGCGAACGTTCAGCATAGAAGCAGCAGGCATCGCGTAAACATGAATGAAAAGTTGAATTGCTCGGCATTCAGGGGCGCGTGGCAAATAGCTTTCAAAGCAAGACACCACTAGGGCACCGCAGACACTTGCCCTTTCGTTTACCAGATGAATCACGTGGCATAAAATATGCAGCCGAAGGCTTGAGCCTTGGCTCCTGTCGGCTTCTGCATTGCTTAGCGCACACCATTTTAGACTCTCTCTCCACCTCCACCCTGTAACGGGCCTCTGCCTCTGCCCTCTGTTGCTTCGTTCGTTCCCGACGCGGAGCCATCGAGTTAAGCTCGCCAACGTGCGCCACTTGTCCCGAGAAACTGTAATTACGGGAGACCTACACAGAAAAGTAGCAGCCCTCCGGAGGATTTCCCGACGTGTCATGCAGAGAAGCTCGCTTTCAATGCGCGGGGATGATGCTCTGCAGACGAGAGGTGGACGCGGTGTTTTGTTCTGTTCGGGTGTTCCCAAAAGGGGTGTGCGTTAGGTGTGCGCAGTTTTTGTGCATGCTTCGTTTGAGTCCGCCGTGAGCTTCAGTGCCACTACGATACAGCGTAGCGTGTGCGCCCAGGAACGAGCACTTTTGCAGCGTGCGCGAGGAGTGCGTCTTTGCTGTTGAGACTATTGATGTGGAAGAAAGCACCCATTGCTGGAGAAGTAGTTGACGGTGGCATCAGGAAGACGTTAACTTGCATACAGCCTCCTTTTTTCATCTCTCTTTTCTGAGGGAGCGCGGAGAATCGCTAATGAAGGTGGGCACTGTTTCTGGCCGACCTGAGAGGGGTTATCATGGTCGGCTTCTGTTTTCCTGAAACATTAGCTTGTAGGCTTATGCCACAGGAGCGAAAGAGAGACACGCCTGAACGATAACCGATGCCAGCCCGGAACGTGAGCCATGGCTTCACGTGCCACGGCCTAGCGCCTTCTTTTTTTTCCTCTGTCGCCATCGCGCGCTCTCCGGTTTGCGTGCCGCCCGAACGAGGGCGCTACAAGCTATTCCAGTACACTATTGTTCTCAGTAAGGGTGGTTAAACGCAAATAGCAGTCCAGATAGAGGAAAAACAAACGCGGGGACATTCACATAGTGTTGCTCCAAAGCAGCTGCAAGAGCTACTAGAGGTATGATTCAACCCGTGAGCTTCTTAACTCGAATGTCTCGATTACGTCATCTTGCGGCACGTTTCAAGCTGTGCAATTAGGAAAAATACTGGAAACAGAAACAGGAAATTGGGGGACCCTTAAGCTTCTCCTTTAAGAGCTGAAGGTGATAGCGATATTCTGTTTCTAGTGCGCACTACAAACACTTAGTGCAAGAAATATTTTCGAACTTGCTATGCACCCACTACGTGGCCTTAGAGTCGCAGTAGCATGTGTGCCTCTTGTAGTGGATGACTGGCTTTACACGATGAATTCATTACGATAATCCCGCGTTCTGACGCCAGATGGCTAGGTACGCTTGTACCACGCTATATTACGGCCGCATTACATGCTGTATTGTGAAGCATGTATACAGGACGCGTGTGTTTGTAAAGTATGGAAGTTAGTTTCATTGTGTTTCCAAGAAGAGGAAGTTATTTTCACTATATTCACACAGGCAGGCAGGCAAAGAACTCTATTAGGCACAAGCACAGGCTCATTCATTGCGCTCAATCTTGCATACAGCGTTTTCATCAGACTTTCTCAACATTCGCGTGGTCCTCGACTTTTGAACCAACGAGACGGGGCAACCTATTCAATCGAGCAAGGAATAGAGGGCTGGGATTAGTTTATTTATATTTATGGCGAATAGTTTCGCAGTTCTGCTTTTTTTGGAACAGTTTCCATCCCATATTTCAAATATTATTGCAGATTAAACTTGTTAATGCCTTACTTGACTTGATTGTTTCTTCAGATTTCTCTGCACGTCCGTGTTTGTGGGCATTCATGCAGGAAGTATTGAGCACTGTCCAGTTTCACAAAGTCTACTTTTCCACAGAACAATTATACACAGTGTCACGCAAAAAACTCTATAAAGATTTGCTATCCATCCTTTTTCCGCCTCCAATTGACACCACTCCTCATACTCCGACCACACAGGACATGAAGCACTAAAACGAGTCCGGAAAACTTATATTTCCCCTGATAAAAAAAAAAACTTCTTTTTTAAGCTCTATACATTAACGCAGCCGGTAAACCATGGTTGCTAAAATAAAGGTATTTTGTTTCTTCAGTTAAATGTTGTCTCTGCGATGTACTAGAGACAATAGAAGACGGCTTTATTAGCTGCAAAGATGCCATTCTGTATTGGGACATCCATCAACGAACCATTCAAAAAAGATTGCAACAATAATTCACGTAATATACGTTACCTTCTCCCAACACGTCTTGATGAAGTGTCCTATGTTTTTTTTTACTTATGGGACGGCGCAGTTTATGGAAAACGCGCATGCAAGACCATAATGCAGAACCCACGACTGCCTCGAGTGTGCGTTTCATGCGCATGACTCTGCATCTGAAGAACATTTATGAAGAACTTTTTATTTATTTATTTATTTATTTATTTATTTATTTATTTATTTTATAATACTGTCAGCCCTCTCTTGAGGGCTCTTACAGGGAGGGTACAACCCAATACAAACCAACCAATATACATCTATGTCTTGTAGTAGCGCAGTCAATTAATATATGTGTAGCACATTTCGAATAGGCATACACTGCCTGCATTTGCTGCAATGCCTGGATACGCATCATGAACGTAGCTCGGAGAAAGAAAACAAAGAAACTCAAACCAAGAAAACATGCAGGTTAATCGTCTGGCAGCTCCATCAATCAAATACATGTCCAAAAACTTTTCGAATTGGCAAAGATCGCTTGCATTTCCTCCAACGCCTGGCAACTCATTCCAAAGCTCAATCGCTGCTGAAAAAAAAAGGAATAACGAAACACATTACTCGGACAAGAGTACGGTACTAAAACACAGTCGTGATTAACCCGACTGCTTCGTTTCCCTGGCACTTTTAAGTACAAATCTTTGTTAATTTTTAGTTGTCCTTGCAGTATCCTAAAAAGAGCCTTCAACCGGTTCTTTTGTCTTTGTGCCTCAAGTGATTCCAGTTCACAGGACTCCAACATCTGCGTGACAGAATCTAACCGGCGGTCATTCGTGCATATGAAGCGGACGGCATGGCGTTGAACTTTCTCTAATTTTGTTTTCAGGCTTGACATTAAACTTGACTTTAACCTTGACTTTAAACCAGACTGGCACCCCTTTCTAATGAGTTGTTCATCCTTATCAAGCTTTTGAAGAATTTGTCTTTTTTTCTGGACTTGCTAAATATATATGTATGTAAGCCTTTCAATAATTGCGCAGTACTTATGCGATTATTGTCGCTGAGGGAATGCACCACTACGTCAAAGAAAATGTTATAGTTTCAAATACGCATTATAAAAAATACCAAGAAAAAAAAACGTGGTGAGAAAGACGAAGACGACGTTCTGAACGGACGCGTTTTTCATGTTCTCCACTTCGAAGGATTTATCGGCCATATGCCGAGGTGCTGCTCAGGGTTCAGCCTGCGGCAATGACTACCGTGTTGTACTCCCTCGCCTTCCCACCGGTAAGCTTGTTGTGGACTCTGTCTTTCTACATGCGGACTTAGCTGGTCGCCCCTACCGGGTTCAAGATTTTAGAGATGCTCTTCGGGACATCATTGACTTGAAGGAAATAAGCTCCATACGTCAATTTCAAATGTCTCATGTTTGGATGGTCACATGCAAATCAACGCTGACGAAAACAAAGTTGGTCACAAAAGGCTAATTTTTCGTCAAAAGTCGTCGATGCCTCGTTATAGACCCGGAGCCCACGGAAGTGAAGTTGAAGCTCATGTGGCTTCCTGAGCGCTTGGAGGACGCCTATGTGTGCGAGGCACTGCAAGCTTTTGGGAAGGTTAAAACAATATCACAAGAAAACTGGAAAGTAGCGGACATGGAACAAATGCGGACGCTAAATAGGGATGTTGTTTTGTCCCTTGCTGATGGAGTTCGCATTGCGGATATTCCTCATATTCTTAATGTCTGCGGAGTGCAAAGCCTCGTCCTGATACCTGGCCGCCCACCACTTTGCCTTCGGTGCAGTAAGGTTGGACACATCCGTCGAAACTGCAGGACCCCTCGCTGTGACAACTGTCGACGCTTCGGTCATTCGGCCGAAGATTGTGTTATGACATACGCCAACAAGCTGCGACAGCACACAAAACAGCCAGATGATAATCTACAAGAGCATATTGTGGATGCCACCGAGGTTTTGGATGCAACGGGAGACACTCCGTCAATGTCATATGCTGCAAGCTCTACCACAAGGAATCCAGAAGAGGAAAGAAATTCACTCGCTGTTGACACAGTTGAAACTTCTGCGTGCAAAGAGCCAAGTGAATCATGCAAGCAGCATACCAAAAACGACTCCGCACAACCCCTAGCACAAGTAGAAGTTCCTATGGAGAGTGCTGTTGCGCTGACCCATAAAGATGCCGAAGAACCACCAGTACAAGATAGAGACTCTGGGCTGGATGCCGCAGAAAGTTCATCACCTGCTTGCGCTGCAGCTCCGCAGCAGCTTTGTCATCATGGTGCAGTGTAGGAAGATGATATGCAGATCTCTACGGATACAGCAATACTGAAACATCGCGCATCGTCCAGCTCGGATTCAAGCAAAGGGAGTGACCCAGCGTCAGTGACTAGGGAGTCATGCCGTCGCCGAAAGTCCATGCCAAAGGGGAAGTGTCGCCGATCCCGATCTAGGAGGCCTGCTGGGGGCTCACGGGAAGCCTCAGCGCCAACTCTTGGGACTGATCAAGTGGGACGATAAGCGCATTAGAAGGTAGTCACCATGACGCAGTCTGAGCGACTCATATTTGCCACCTTGAACGTACGCGGCCTTAGGTCTTCGCAGAAACAAGCACAACTCCGTAGACTTCTCAATCGGAAGCATCTCGACTTTGTCGCCATGCAAGAGACAAAGATCGAGAGCGAGGAAGAGATCGAGAAGGCCCTGCGGCCTTTTTTGTCTCAGTTTAATGTGTGTGTCTCACATGCTAAAGGTTTATCTGCGAGCTGTTGGTTGTTTCGGAGAAAAAGCTTACCCTGTTCAGCATTGTGCACTAGTGTTGATGAAAAGGGCAGGTATATATGCTGTGATTTTTTGTTGCAAGGAGTGCCATGGAGAATTATCAATCTATATGTGTTTAATGATGTTCCGAAACGGCTTGAGTTTTTTGAAAAAGTGCGTAATTTAATTGACGTCGACAGATGCACGGTACTTATGGGAGATTTCAACTGCGTATGTGAAGCTATTGATTGTTATAATTTGTCTGGAAAGAGAGACAGGAGTGGTCAGCTTTTATCCGGTATTTTAGATAATGCAGGACTAATTGACATCGGGGTCTCGAATCAGGCAACAGCATATACAAGAGTACAAGGCAGCTCTCATGCTCGCCGTGACCGGATTTACGTGTCCTCATCACTCCTATCTCGTAAAATTTCCTGCAGCACCAAAGCTGTATCATTTTCAGACCATTGTATTGTCATAGCGAAAATCGGCGAAAATCGTCACAAACCATTCCGTCCCCAGTGGGCCCTTTAGAAAATGAATGCGAAGCTCCTCTGTGATCAGGAATTCATGAATCGCGTCCAGATGGCATTGAGGCAATCTTTTTCGATTGGTTTTCATATCTTCGCTGCTTGGGAGCTTTTTAAACAAGAAGTTCGCTCTATAGCTTTAGAAATTGGGGCTGTTAAGTTTTTCTATAGAAAGAATGGTGAAAAGATACTTGTTAAAAGTCTTTGCAATCTTTATGAGATGCAATGCGAAATGACGGGAAAGTACATCAAAGATATTGAGAATATTAAGTGCCAACTACAGAGATATGATGCTGCTCGCTACCAAGGGGCACGTATTATATCTCGGAACCAGCTCACTTTAAATTCTGTGCAACCGACGCGCCAATCTTTACTTGATGAGCAACGCCATGCGATTTCTAAAGTTATTCCAGACTTGTACTTTAACGATGTGCTCATAAAAGATAACGGAGACATTACTTTGGCGTTCGAACGTACTATAACAGCTTATTTAGTTCTCCCTCTGATGATCCTGACGCTCACCTCAAGGCTAGTTTTGTTTATCTTGTGAACCCCTTGAAGGACAGTGATTGTGAAGTCATTAATGGGCCCCTTACTCTACAGGAAATCGAGAGAGCAATCGACAACTTGCCTTTATTGAAAACACCGGGGCCTGGTGGCATCTCAGGCAAATTTTACAAATCTTTCAAGAAAACGCTTGCTCCTATATTGCTGAATATTTTTCAGATGAGTTACGACATGAATACACTCCCACAATCTTTTTGCAAAAGTCACACTGTGTTAATACCGAAAACAACTGACAAGAAAAAAACTTCGCTTCGTTGAGGGCTACAGACCAATATCGCTGTCAAATGTGGACTACAAAATTTTCGCAAAAGTATTAGCGAATAGGTTGCAATTTGCTATGTCGATCCTCATTGGGTCTCATCAGACATGTGGGATTAGAGGTCGATCCATACAAACCAATATACATGTCGCTCGAACAGTGCTTCAATGCTGTCATGGTTCTCAAAAACACCTTGCAATGCTACAGGTAGACCTTGCAAAAGCTTTTGATCGTGTTCGTCATTCCTTCCTTTTTTCTCTTCTCGAACAAGCTAATGTTGGCAAAGTTGTTCTTAAAGGCGTTAAATTATGCTATAATGAATGCTCAACTCGTCTGATAGTTAATGGTCAATTCTCCAAGCCAGTTTCTATTCGCTCTTCTGTAAAACAGGGATACCCGATGTCACCTCTTTTATTTGCACTTTATCTAGAACCACTGTGCTTAAGCATAATACAGTCGAGTGGCATTCGTGGCTTTAGAATATTAGGCAGTGAGGTTAAAGTATTGGCTTATGCAGACGATGTCGCATTCTTTTGCACAGATAAACCAAGTGTCGAAAATGTGGTATATACTATTGAAAAGTTTGGCGTAGTATCAGGAGCTCGTTTAAGTGCCTCTAATAGGTTAGGACTGTGGTTTGGCTTGTGGGGAAGCACACCGAACCACTTTGCAGGGATTAATTGGACAAGAACTCCTCCAACATACCTCGGTGTACCATTGCATGCATATAGATTCAGTGCGCATTACTGGAAGGAACGTGTCCCTAAGCTTGAACGACAGGCCCAGACATTTGTGCCCTATCGACTTTCGATATTTGGGAGAGCTGAAGCTTGCAATACTTTCTTAGCGACAAAACTTTACTATGTATTGCAACTTATTCATTGCGCAAGATTCTATATACAACGCTTTCATCGAATTTTCGCTACTTTCATATGGTATTTGACTTTTGAGTCCATGCGTCGTGATAATATATATTCAAGTCAGTTAGTGAGGGTGGGTTAGGACTAAAACACCTTTATCTATGGCAAAGAGTGTCCCGATTCTTTTTTTTTCGAGATAATTCCCATCCTGTAATCCATTCCTTCTTGCAGGTTACACTTGTTGATTGCTTACCAGATTTAATTGTTTCATCCAACTTCTCCGAACGCCCATGCTTGTGGGGATTCATGCAGGAAGTTTACCTCGCAGTTCAGTTCCTTAAAGCTCGCTTCTCTGTAGAATACCTGTACTCAGTATCGCGCAAGGTGCTGTATAAGGACCTACTGAGTACACTCTTCCCACCTCCATTGTACCGTTCACTGTACGCCAATCTTCCTGGTCACGATGTGTTGAAGCGAGTGCGCAAAATGTACATTCCACCGAATTCAAAAACATTCTTCTATAAACTCCACTCTGAAACATTGGCGGTAAACACATGGTTAGAAAGAAAAGGTATTTTCATTCCGTCTGTTAACGGCCGTCTATGTGATGTGCCGGAAACGATTGAACATTGCTTTGTTAGCTGCAAAAATGCCATACTATTCGTCGTCGAAGTGTCTCTTCATAGAACGCTTCTGCTTTCGGCTCCGAGCATTGTTATCAAGTTTTTCGCTTTTTACGGGAGACGCTGCTCCCTGCCCCAAGGCGACGGACGCGGAGTCATCCACTGGTCCGCCCAGCCAGAGGTCTGCTATGGCGAGTTCCTCGGTAAATCAGCGCGCCTGGCCCAGAACCAGTGAGGCCAACGGTGATAGTCACTGCATGATGGCTGTGGACGTGGAGCCTTCTGCGGCTCTGTCCGACCATAGACCACCTTTGGCAAGCTCGTCGCGGAAACGAAGCACCTGTTCGAGCACCAGCGAGGACACGGAACTGTACTCGGCCACTGGCGACGACTCGTCGGATGACGACTTCGAGACCGTGAGAAGCAGGAAGGCCAAAAGAAGAAGTATCAAGTCGTCTTCACCAGCAGGGACATTAACGTCTCAGTCAAAAGGAGAATGCTGGCCGCACACCATCCTCTTCATGCCCGAGGACTCCACCATCAGCCTTCGAGCAGTAAACAGGCAAGCTCTCTCTATGTACTTTGAGGGGGTAGCACCAAACGACATTAAGGATATCCGGGTGAACACGCGGAAGAATATTCTAGCTGTGGACACAATGACTGCCAGCGCCATAGACAAGCTTCGCAGAGTATCAGATTTGGGAGGCATCAAAGTTCGACCGGTTATTCCAATGGACGGTGCCTGCACGGCGGGAGTAATCTACGACATTGATTTGGCCATAGCAAATTCGGACCTCCCAACTCTCATAAAACCAGCGAACGAAGGAGTTCTCATCGCGAATGTACTTCGCCTCGGAAACACCCGATGTGTAAAGATAATGTTCAAAGGAGATTCCATTCCGTCGCATGTCAAAGTGGGACACTTCCGACATCCTGTTCGACCATTTGTCCCTAAACCACTCCAGTGCCATAACTGCATGAAAATTGGTCACATCAAGAGTGTATGTACAAACACCACAGCATGCCCCCGATGCGCTGAGCCGCACACTGCAGACGCATGTCGGGCAACAAGTCTGAAGTGCAGAAACTGTGATGGTCCGCATGATGCTGCATACAAGGAATGCCCTCGGATTAAGAAGGAAATCGCCATTATCAAACAAATGGTTAGGGACAATTCAACCCACAGAGAGGCTGCTGAAAGGGTACGGCGGCGACGTAGTCGCCGACGGAGGCGTGTAGGACAGAGTGTTGCGCATAACCCATTTCCTCCGAGCACGAGTGAAGTAGTAAGCACGAAGCGAAATGAAGTGGAGAAGCTCACAGCTGCGGATGAGTGGCCTACGCTTCCGCGTACGCAGCCGGCAAAGGAGCCTCCTGCGAGGCCTCGCC